CCCCACCCATCCCCTGCAAAAGTTCTTGGGAAAGATCAAGTACGTGACCAAAGCTAGGCTTAATTTCCATGCTGCTTTGTAAACTCTCTTAAACACTTAAGATTTTTAGTTAATGGTTTCTTAAACTGTTTTTTAAAGGATCTTCATGTACATGTTCCTCGCTGGACTTGGTCTACTCGTCATTGTTGGCCTGCATCAGTTACTAGAGTCTAGGAAGGTGAGTAGTGTATTTTGTCTACGTTAATACAAGACCTTTACTGGTATGAAAAGAAAGCAATTCAGTAATCGCTTCTGGCATACGATGGTACAGGTAGAACATCAGAAGATTTACTTATAGAACTAAGACCTTAGAGCTTACTGGGAAAACCAGAGTCTAAAAAACGTTCATAACTGGAGACGTTTAGAGATTGCTTACCTAATGCTCTTTGGGCCTGCTCTTAGGCACCACACTGAAGTGGTTTCTAGTATTTGTACTGTCAGAACTTTGTGGAAAGAAAAATCTTTTTTTTTTTTCTTGAATTTTCCAGAGGAAAAGACCAGTACAGAAAGTAGAAATGGGAACATCAAATCAGAATGATGTTGATATGAGCTGGATTCCCCAAGAGACTTTAAATCAAATAAGTAAGTAATCTGCCTGCCACAAAGTAGAGTGTAACAAACTTACTTAATGAATTAGTTTTAACTGAATAAGTAGGTGATACCGGTTTCTCAGAACAGCATACGTTTCTTCTAGGGAATAAAAAATTGTCTAAAGCATTGTGATTAGACTGTTACATTAGCAGCCTATTCTTGCATATAACAAACTTCACTGGGTGGTACAATAACGATTATCGGTGACTTTTGCAATTTGTTCTTGTCCTGGTTTCAGCTGGGACAGTGAGTTTTCTGTTTAGCAGCTAGAAGAGCTCTGTGTTTTGGATTTAGTCTGGGATTTGTTGTGAGAAGAATGCTGATAACACACTGGTGTTCATAGTTGGTGCTGAGACACCAAGGACTTCTCAGCTTCCCATGTTCTGCCAGTGTGCGGGTGCACGGCAGGCTGCGGGGAGTGGCTGGAACAAAGGACCCACAACTCTGATCTTATGATTTGAGCTTAGATTTAGGATTGAGGCCCAAATTGACCAATGGGACATTCTATCTCATGTAACGTCATGCCCAGTATGTAGATGAGGGTTGGTTGGGAAGCTTGGGACTGGTGCGCTCTTTCTCTCTTCAAATCTCTGTTTTTGGGGCTCTTGCTCTTCTGGGATTGTGGTTTCAGTAATTCTCTGGTTTGGGATTGCCAGCTGGGCTGGGCGTTGGTCAGTGGCTGGTGAGCAATTACACTGTGCATCACTCATTAGTATATATGGTTATAATTGTATATATTATCATATATTAATATAAATTTTATTATCATCATTATTACTTTTAACTTCATTTCAGTTACTAAATTGTTCTTATCTCAATCCAGGAGCCTCCTTCCCTTCTCTCCTTTGACTCTCCTCCACATTTGCTGGGGTGGGGGAGAGTGAGTGAGCAGCTGCATGGGGTTTAGTTGCCAGATGGATTAAACCATCACAGTCCTGTAGCCTTTTTTCAACAAAATCTCTAGAAAATCCCTACCCAAAACCTGGATCACAAAGGAGGTTTAAATAGGAGAAAACGTGTCATCTAAAAGTTTCTGTCAGTTGTTGGGAAGTTTGCCTATAAACCAAAGTTTTAAATAAGTGTTAGGAATGTGTATTAAGTAAAGCCACAGTAAGACTTGGTGTTAATGTCCTTCACAAGTCTAAAAAGGCTGAGTTCTACTGGATATCTGAAATGCCAGAAAGAGTAAACCCAACATCTGATATCTTTAGACCGTTTGTGTGTTTGTAAGTGTTTCTAACTTCTTTTGCTGTTTCTTCTGTTTTGCTTTCCCATGGCTTCAGTGCAGAGTAGAAGAGGTGAGGCGCAAACTGGTGATCTAAAGAGTGGACGTGCTTAATGTGTTGTCCATGTGATATTTAGGCATGGATAGAAGTATGGCTTCCTGCATGCAGTGATTGGTGATGGAGCATGAACAGTAAAAGATTATAGAACAGATGGACACAACCACAGAAACACATTTTATATACATATACATTTATGTTTTCATATGTTATAAATAAGTGTGTATGTGTTATTTCTGGTTGTATTGTAGTAATGTCGTTCCAGTAGAATATTGCTGAAATACTGTTGTCTCCTCTAACAGTCCCAGAACCTTCTATCTGAAATGCAGATGTGTACCTTGCCTTCCCTGCTACCTTGGTGTAGCAGCAAGCTGATTTTGCATGAGGGAGGTGGAGGACTGATCACAGCTAATGGCTGAGCACATCTTGTTGCAGTGAGAAGCAAATCTCAGCCTGGAGTATAACAGTTCAATAGTCAGGTTTATCTTCCTGGGTCTTCCTTATCCCAGGTGAACTCCTGTCACCAGTAGCATTGGCTGGTGTGAGGTGAGAGCACCTTGCTTAAAACAAAGCACACCCTGGACAAGAGAAGTGCTTTGAAAACCCTTGGTAGGAACTACCTTTACTTGAAAGAGACTCCTGTTTTGATGGAGTAAGCATATTCTGAGCTTTATTCAGTGTAGAAAGGCTAGAGGGCTGAGCTCTCTTGGAGTTCTGCCAGGAGTTTGACTTCACTTTTTTGATTCCTTCACCCTTTTTAACTGTACTTACATTACACAGGTATAAAGACTGGTGTGTTACTTCTGAAAATGTAAGCTTTCTTGTACACTGTCTTCTGTAAGACACAAGAAAGATGGTATAAAATCTAGACACTGGAATTTGAAAAGCCTCAATCTAGCAAAAGACTGAAGCTCTAAATGCTAATTTTTTCCAGAGAGCAAGCTGTCTTTAAATGGGTTCAAATTGAGTCCTGTCCCCCATCCCTTAAGCTAAATACATATTCATATTTTAATACCTGAAGTCTAGGAAAAACTCATGTTTAAGTTGTTCTTGTTTGTGGTTTTGTTTAGCTCCAGGTTAGTTTTAATTAGAACTCTACACTAGAATCCTTTTAAATACATGGCCTTCAAGATCCTCAGAGGTTCTTGACTGTTATTGTTGAAAGATGCTTCATACTGTACTGATTGGCCTGTAGTGGCTGCTCCTTGTGTTTGCACTTAGTGTAAGCAGTGAAATTACTGGAGATGGTTCTGGTTGAGGAAACGTGCGTTTTTTGAGTCAACAGATACCCTTAGCAGTCACTTTAGCACTTCATGCAAAGCATTGTTGCTTCTCTTCAGTATTGAAATTCTACCTATGTAAGGACCATAATTGTAAGGGGCAATTACAGGTCTGTCATAAAGTCTTAGATGTAGGATGATGCTTCTGGCATCCCAGATATCCCTGGGAACCCAGGGTGGGTTCCCTGTATGGGATATCTGATTACAAAGTGACATCTTCATAGTCACATACGGAATTCTTGAACACAGAGCTTCTCTAAACAGCAGAGCATGCAGTTTCATCAGGAGATGGTGTGGGGTTTGTTTTTTTTGGGTGGTTGTTCTTGCATTTTAGTAGCTGGCAAATTGAACAACCCTTACCCTGGAGTTGCATGTTACAGAATAGGAACACTCTCTTCTATTACCTTCTAGTTAGGATGCTAATAGTTAAAAAGCCTTAACAAGTCGTTTTAACTGGCTTCTCTGTGGTCATGCATTGCACTGGAAGGGCAGTTTGGCTTGTTTGGGAGGGAGAAAAATGCATGGTTGTAAAATATCTAATCTGAAGGAGCTGTAGCAACTGATGCAACTATCTTTTTTTCCTTGTTTTTTTAATTTAGATAAAGCTTCACCGAGGAGGTTGCCCTACAAGAGGGCGCAGAAGAGATCAGCGGGCTCTGATGAGTAAATGTTAACTAGTACAACAGTTGAACCTTTACTAATCCTGCCTGTTTGGGTTTTTTGGATTGGAGTAGTGCAGAGAATCCATATCACCATAAGGAAAATACTGCTAAACATTTGGACTGAACAGATTAACTGAATGGTGTTAATATTACTGAAAATGCACTTCTCTTTGGGGTTTTTTTTTGTTAATTGTGGGGGAGAGGGAGGGGGGAGGAGGGGAGGTAGCCATTAAGACTCGTGCCTGCGTGTGTAAGCAGTTGGTCTTAACAGAATTATGTTACCTGAAATGTGCCTTTAGAGTTCTTTTGTGATGCTGGCTTGTCATCTCTACCCTGTTTTTGAAGGATTTTTCTCCTCCCCTTAATCTGAATGTGTAGTGACTTAATCTGTCTTGATTGTATCCTGTCTGTATCAGAATCTGTATGTATTTTTCTTTTTCAGTACGTAACTTTATTCTCTACAGCGTGCACACACTGCAGTTTGTGTGTGTGGTCCTGGGTTCCTGCATAGTTTGCATTCTAAAGGCACAATCGGGTAGAGCTGCTCGTAGCGGTAGATACTTTGCTGCTGTTTTGATCTGGGCGTGCAGTGAGCTAAAAATCTAAACTTGTCTGCATAGATGTTAGGAAGACTCTTACACAGCAGCAGAACTTGTGAAGCATGGAATTTGTGTGCTGAATTGGTATTACTACATAAATTTTTTTGTATACCCAACCTGTTAAGTGGTTAGTTATTGAGTTATGCCAGCGGCTTAGGTATTCTCATTATAGTGGTAGCTCTGCAATGTTTACTCGAGAAATTATTGAATAAGCCAGAACAACTTTTCAGTAAGTTATTGGTTCTCTCACAAAAACTAGAATGTCATATGTTTCAAAACGTGGACTTCTCTTAAAGCTTTACACGGGGCAAGGACTTTACATTTACTGTACACACTTGAATCTGAATTTGAAAAACTTGGCTTCTAGTAACCTTTTTAAATGGCGAACTATTTAATTCACCCTTTGCAGTCTTTAAGTCTCAGACTTCTTTCCACTGGTCGGTACGTTGGTCTGAGTTACACTTTTTCATCACGTCTTTCCTACTCATAATGCAGATGCGTATCCATTATTAACTGTGTTAGCTTTCCTGCTTTAGTACTGAACTATATGCAATCAGAATGGGATTTTCTTTTGTGGCAGGCACAGTTTACGTGATTACCAGGAACTGAGGTATTGACTTGCATCCATTGCATTCAGGAATTTAACTGGCAGTAAAAAGAGCAGATAATGCAAACTGTCAGTTTGCTGCCATTCAGGCACTCCAGCAAGGCTTGAGGTGTTTGTGTCTGTCTCAGCTGCATCTCTTCATGTGTCTGAAGGTTGTCTGGAAGCTTGTGGAGGCATTGATTTGAGACCTCTGTCGTCTTCTTTTCCTGTGAAAGTGCTCTTTTAGATCTACCCTTGCTCTGCAGGGACTGAGCTTCTGAGCCAATGAACACTGAGCAATACTTGCAAATCGTGTTGTAGTGTTTGAAGCATCCAAGCTCTGAAACTACCTGTACTGGCACTGTCTTACTATATGCTTTGCTAGAGTGAGCTGTGAAGATACTCTTGACTCATGTTGCTATGGAAAGAATAAGAACAGGAAAAGCAGCCCCAAAGATGATTTGTTCAACTTCCTGATGATATAGCTAGCCCAGGCAAAGTACTTTTAATGGTTAAGACTGCTGAATCGTCATACAGATCACTTAAACAGTTGAATGCTACCTTCATAAGAAGAATCTCCACTCAAATTGTGTCGAACAGCTTTGTCCTTAGGGATGTAATCTGACCGGTTCTGTGGTAGACTTATGGGCTATATTCAAGCTTGCATTGATTCAACAAAGTGTTTATGTGTTAAATACTGTATATACTAAAGCCCTATAGCTATTGCAGCACCTGAGGTACTGAACTTTTAAGTTGCCTCTCGGATTATATCTCTAACCTGAAATCAAGAGTGTGGGGTTTTTTTCCTTACCATCTGGTAATAAGTAATCTTAGACTGCGTACTCTTAATTCTTTCTAAGATAGGAATGTCCTCTTCTGAGAGGGTGATGATGAGACCTGCTCTAGATACAGTGGTACTCCAGGAAGAGAACAGAGGCTACTAATTCATAATAACCTAGTTTTATTTGTTCAGATAAATAGCTTAACCTTTAGTGATTGAGTTTTGGAGCAAGTTAGGCCTGTAGAAGTCTTACACTGACTGGGACTTAAAAGCTGAAGGACTGAAGCACTGTACAAGTAAGAAATAAGTATTTGAAGGTTGCAGCTTTCTTCTCTGCACTCAGTGGTTAACATCCACATGCTTGAGTTGTAAGCATGAAAGAAGAGAGAGGAGGTGGTTTAGCAACTTGCATAGAAACTAGCAATGGGAAAGTCCAGTTGTACCAAGACTGTCTTACTGGTCATACAACTTGGCATTCACTGTGGAGTGTTCACAGTAACTTTCTCCACCACAAGCAGTTCATAAAAACAGTGGCCAGTGGTCCACTGCTACTCATGATAAATGAAGCAACAGTTTTGAATTCCTTGTTAGTTGGCTGGAGTTTAAATTTAGCAATAATATTGTAGCATGTAGTGGTAATTGAACTTTGGCATCTCATGTGTTATTTCTAGTGAATAAGCCAGTCTATGACACTTAGATTTTTTTTTTTTTTCAAATGGGAGAACGTAGTTGTTGATTTATCTTGTTGGTTAACAGCTTTTATTTTGGTACTTGGATTTCTTACTCAATTTTTAAACACATACACATAGCTAAGTGTCACAGGTATGTTACTGGATATCACTGAGTTAAGGTATAGTTTCATTGATTTTTAAGATGGAAAAAGTAGCAATTCTACCTGTCTCCATGCAGCTCCTTTCCATGTGGTAACACAAGCATTTGTATTATCTAGCATTCCTACCAGCCTAGTTTTCAGCAAGCTTATTACAGTAACTGCTTATGTGAGGTTATGAGGAGCAAGGACTGTGAAAGATGATGTGGACTAGGGTTTCTTCTTTATTAGTAGGAGATGCTAAAATGGTTTTAGACTGCAAAGAAACTATGGCCTTAGTGGGAATTAATTCCTTTCTCAGAGCCCCTTAACTAGTTCAGAAAATCGTGAAGACTTAATGAGTCTGTGCTTAGAGTAAGGAAAAACTGCTTCAGAGCTTGTGTCTACACTGGTAGCAAAGCATAATTCAGCTACACTTGCACTGCGTTTGATACTTGTAGCCCTCTCTGTGCTGCCTGCTTTGTGGCAGCAGTTCTTTTTTTTCCAGTGTTATTTAATGGGAGAAAGGAAGAGTGACTGCTGCCAGACTAAAGGCTGAACTGTCATCTCTATTCTTCATGTACAAAATAATTAAATTGTAGGCCGTGGAGATGAATGGAGCAGACTAGTGACAGCAGTGCTTCTGCTTGTTTCAAAACAGTCACGCTGAACATCACCCTTCCCTTGGAATCAATGTAATCAAAAGCATCATCCACTCTCTGTTCCTGGAATGCATGGTGCTAAACAAAATGTGGTAGTTGAAAGCGCTGAGCTCAAGGAAGCAGCAGGAAGGTTAAATACTAACGGAGGCTGATTGTCCTGTTTTTCAGTGTTCCTGATGTACTGAACAGCAGTTAAGAGTCTGTTCTCTTTTCTCCTCCAGAGGAAGGACAGTACCTACCTCATAGATGGACACAAGGGCTGTTTCAGGAATGTTTTGAAGTTACTTGAGACTTGCACAATATATTTCCGTGGAGATAGTAAGACATAGCACTAGTGGAACTTGATGGTAACTACATAGATTCATGTTACACCAGTTTAATCCCCTCACTGAACAGAATTCAGCAGCTTTACGCTAAGACTTTTCTTAAATACCCAGGACTTAGTTCGCTTACAGAGCCAGGAAGATCTTTCAGTTTCTGCAAGAGTTTTAGTGGGCTAAATAACATTCTTCTTACATTTTTCTATTTATCTCTAAATGCTCCCAGGGATATTTCTTAATCAAGTCATATAGATGATTGTTTGTGTAGATACAATCAACAGTCAGTTTAAGTGACTGATTGTTTTGGATGATTAAGTTCAGATGATGTACTGCAACTGAAATGTTAAATTAACATTTACTTTCTTACCTGCTGACTTTCATTTATAAGTGAGATCAGATCTCTTGAAAATGGCTGCAGGTTTTTTGTAAAGTAAACTTGATTATTTTTTTTAACATTATGTAGTGGTTTGTTTTTTTTTTTTAAATAAAGCATGAGTATGGCACCAAAAAGCCTGCTGGTGCTCTTTTCCTTGATAAGCAATCTGTAGTAGCAAATATGCAAAGAGTGAAAACATGCTATCCTTAAAAAGCTGCTTTTCTACAAGTGTATTTGGGATGAGAATCATAGTGAGAAAGTATTCTGTGATGTTTTGGACAATAGACTAATATTAAGATAAAAATTCTTTATAAGAATAAGGGAAGGCCCTGGGAAAATGTTCAGTAAATTCTTAAATCCTGGTCTGCTAAAACTGAGCCATAGTCCCCTGCATTTCCAGAAAGAATAACCTATTGTTAAGCTGTAGGCAGCATGAAAAGGATCTGTTGAGATGCTTAAAGGCTGCTGAAGCACAAGGTGATAACAAGGCCAAATCCCTGTAGCTTTGAGGTGAATGCCATTGCAAACAATAATGTTCCAGGCAGGTAATACTGAAAGAGGCAGTTTGAGTAGGTGTGCTGCATCCGAACACAAGAAAGTGTGACTTGCTGGGGAAAAAGCAAACCAAAAATGGCTTGAAAATGAAGGATGCTGAGATCCTGTAGTCCTAAACTACATCTGTGGATAAATAAGGGGGAAGACTTAAGAGCAGATGCATTAAGATCTATTTTCAGCTCCCAGAGAACGTAAAAATAACTCTCAAATTTGAAGGTCTGCCTCATCTTTCCCTGAAAGGATCAATATAAGAGATTTTTCTGAGATTTCATCTTGGTCTCTGTTCTTTCCAAGCCAGTCATTGCAGACTTGATTTCAGTAGGCTGTCTTTCTGTCCCCTCATGTTCACAGTCTTAATTGTAAATTTATCTTAACCAAGATGCAGTAAAGTGTCAGCATTGCACCATTACAGTCCCTTAACTGGTAGGGGAAAACTGGAACTTAATCTGTGTTGCCTCATCACTTTTGGTCTGTTCAGCTTACGTGGGAACCACAGCCTGTCTGTCCTGCCTGAACTGCGTTTTCCCTGTGCCACCTGAGTTACAGTTGCACAATGTATCAGATGTAAGAGCTGGCTCCTTCACATAGCAGGGAGAATACTTGGAGTTAATGTTACAGCCACACAAGTGTCTGAACAAGAGAAATTTTCAAGATGACCTCAGTGTATATTCGAGTAAAACAGATCTAGTCCTGCCCTCCAGGGCCTGGATGGAGCTAGAGCATGTGGTGTTTCATTCAGGTGAAGCAGCATTGGTGGACCACGTGTGATTAAAGCATTCACCCTGCAGGCAAAATGCAATAGTTGGTTCAG